CCGGGCCAAGTGTTTATTTATTTATTTTTAGTTGGTTGGATACCATGCTGTGTTGTCCCAGTGAGGACACTAGTGCAGATCGTAGACAACACGTATCTCATGAGTGGAAATGACAATGGGGTTGATAGACTAAAGGAGGATGCTAGGAGGTTAACTAGAAGACAAACACTCAATCGACTGACCACTTTCCTAGTGTTAGAACTAGGCGAGGAAAGGAGGCTGTGAAGAGAAGCTATAGAGAGGGAAATATTCCAGAGGGTTAGGGAAGCAGCCGCCAACCACGCAAGGGAATTAGCAGCAGCAACAACATCAGAGGCTAGAGCCAGTGCTTAGGCAGCCATGAGGCATCTTCGTCAGGTGTTGGTCAAGGTGTCTCCCAAACTTCCATTAGTCAATCTGCTGGCCTGCAGGTCAGCCAGCAACAACCAGGGTCGGATGAAGATTATGAGATTCAACAGGCGGATGCTCTCCACACGAAGTTATGGAGCCAGTTGCAGGAGGTAGAAGGTAGGAGAGAAAAAGCAAGACTTAGAAAAGCAGACTAGAGGCAAGGGAAGAGGAGTTAGGCAAGTTAGAAGTTATTGATGAGTCAGTTTTTGACCCTATAAAGCTGTCCCGTTGGAACTCCCTGTTGAGCCGAAGTGCTCGCGGTGCAATAAGAGATGTTGGCCGCATTGATAGTTGGTCAAAACCAGATTCTGACCGTTCTGCGGACACCACGACCATCGGTTAGGCAACCACCGTTTGCTGTAGCTCCCCCTACAATTGCAGGTCCAATAATGATGCTGCCACCAGTAGGGCAACCGTTTCTCCACAGTTTGGCATACCCCAATCAGGCGGACTAGCAGTAGGTAGTAGTGGGCAGATTCCGGTACCTTCTTCACTTCCACAATCATTGGCTGCTGCTACAGGACAGTGCTGCAGCAGCAGACTGGTCCATTGGTTTCGCAACCAATGCAACAGGCATAGGGTGTTATACAACCCATGTAGTGGACCCCTAGGTTACCCTTGCTGAGTCCTAAACCCTTCTCTGGCAACAAGAAGAAGGAAGAGGACCTGGATACCTAGGTGAGGATTGTGCCCAGGTACGTGGGGCATAAGCTCACAAGGAGTGAGGAAGAAGTTATATCGCTGACACTCGCTGCATCCTTTTTAGAAGGATTTGCGTCCAGATGGCTGAATGGAATAGTACAGAAGCAAGGAATCAAGGAATCAAGGATACGGTCAGAACTTCCATGGTCGGGCACTGGGTCGGACGTTGGAAGATTTCGTACAGATGGTCTATAACAGGTGGCATGACCCCCAAGAGGCTCGAAAGGTCATCGATTCGCTAGCTAGTCTAGGATGAAAAAGATACAGGACAGTTTGCAAGGTTACAGATGCCGTAGCGACTGATTGTTGCTCCTGGTGTGCGGTACAATCCTCAGGTCCTTACAATTTATTTGTGATGTCTGCCCACATATGTCAAAACCAAGTTGGTCGATGAGGCCTCCATAGATGTATATAACTTCGCCTCGTTCAACAAGAAGGCCTTAGACATAGAGGCTAAGCTTGGGAGTGCCCAGCAGGGAGCGATGGATGGAAGGAAGAAGAAGCTTCCTCATGACTGGAGAAAGACGGGCAACCTCATGTTCGTTGACCACGACGGTCAAGCGACTGAGATTAATGACTTCTTTGACCTTGGGGGAGAGACACAGGTAGATGGGAGTGTAGACACTTCAGATGATGGAGTAGTCACTCCTGTCACGGAAAAGATGGTGGAGTAGTTGCTCCTGTCACAGAAAAAGCTAAGGGGGCCGAAAAACAGAAGGCAGGCTGACCCAAGGGTCAATATTACCAAAGAACACCCTTTTTGGGTAAAGCTTGGTCTAGAGTACGAGGTGTGGCGAGACCGTGTTGCTCGAGGTGCTTGCCTCAATTGTGGCCAGTATGGGCACACAATGGCCAAACGCAAGAGTAAGCGGGTCGCTACGAAGGTCGCATCCTAAATAGTGACGGTGGGATCTTCAAACTCTGGTGGTGCTTCTGCGAGCACTTCGCAGGGAAACACCTGGGACCAGTAGGAATGTTAGCCGCTCTTACTTGTGCTGACATGGTAACCTTACCTTTTCCATTTTAGACGATGGCCAAGGCTATTGACCCATTGATCGTCCCGCAAACAAATCTAGACCAACTGATGCTCTGTTCGATGGATGTGTCTGAGTCCTTCGAGGAGTTAGAAACTTAGTGGTCAGATAAAGACCCTAGAGACTCATGGGCGATGTTGAACAAAGGTCCAACAAGTGAACACCTCGTGGTAGAAGTCAATGTAGGTGGACGAAAGGTTGGCGCCTTCGCAGATAAAGGTTCTACGCGAAACTTCATCAGTCGTGCTTGTGTGGATAGGCTGCGCTTAGGGGACCAAGTGCAACTGCTTAGAAGATTTGTGGCATCTACCTTAGCCAACAAACACTATGGTAATAGAGAACTATGCCAAAGACATAGTCTGCACCTTCTCCTATGGAGAAGGGGACCTGAGACATAAAATCTATTTCCTTGTTAGCGACGAGCTGCCGTTCGACATGTTGCTAGGCATGTACTACCTAGAGGTTTCTAAGCGTCAGTTCGATTGGAAGGACCGTTAGGCTGCAAAAGTTTAAGGCAAGCAGACTAGTGGAGAACTATGGTTGCATGTGCACATCATCTTTCTATAACTACTACAAGCAGAATCACAAATATGTACTTAGGGGAGGCCGTAAAATCAGCCTCAGAGATCAAAGCAGCCGTTGCACAGTAGGGGTGTGGTAGATAGAGAAACTGTCCACGCGGTAAGAGTTGTCCCTGTTAGCAGAGTACCTAGATGACGAATCTATAGGATGTCTCCTCCAGAGTTAGATGAGCTTCGCCCCCAGCTCATGAGCTCACAGAGAAGGGCTGGATTCAGCCAAGTACGTCCCCCCTACGGAGCGCCGGTTCTATTTGTCCCATAAAAAAGGGGACCCTAAGGATGTGCATTGACTATAGGGGCCTCAATGCCATCGCTGTTAAAAACGTAGAGGCCCTACCACGCATTGACGACCTTTTGGATAGAGTGCAAGGATGTCGGCACTAAGATAGATATGAAGTCTGAATACCATCAGATTGCTATTAGACCTGAGGACCAACACAAAACCGCCTTTCATACCAGGTATGGTTTGTACGAGTTTGTGGTGTTGCCCTTTGGTCTATGCAATGCTCCTCAGACGTTCCAGCATGCAATGAACCCAATCTTTCATGAATACTTAGACAAGTCTATCGTTGTGTACCTCGACGATATCCTTATCAATAGTAGGACTGTAGAGGAGCACGTTGAGCATGTGAAAACAGTGTTAGGGCTCCTAAGACAGCACCAGTACAAGGTTAACTTGGAGAAATGCGAATTTGGTCGCACCAAGATCTTGTATTTGGGTCATGAGATTTTCGCGGATGGCTTGAGGCCAGACGATGCTAAAGTGGCCAGCATACGTGACTGGCCCAGACCTCAGTCTATGACTGAGGTGAGGTCCATCTTGGGGATGACAGGCTACTATCGCTCATGTGTGAAAAGTTATAGCACGATAGCCTCTCCACTAACTAACCTCATGCGCCTTGACACCCTTGGGAGTGGACCGAAGAGTGTGAGGTAGCCTTCAAGAGATTGAAGTATCCCCCAACACACTACGAAGTCGTCAAACTTTTGAATCTTGAACAACCCTTTGATGTGACCACAGACGCTAGGTGCAGTCCTTGTGAAAAAGGAGGGGAAAGAGATTAGGCCGATCGAGTACATGAGCAAAAAGATGCCATCTCAGAAATTAGCAAAGTCCACGCATGAGTGTGAGCTCTATGGCCTCTATAGAGCGCTGGTCCATTGGAGGCACTACCTCCTAGGCAGATTCTTTTATGTGAGATCTAACCATGAGACGCTGTGCTGGATTAAGACACAACCCGTACGCTCCGACTCCCTCAAGAGATGGATTGAAGCCATTGAAATGTATGACTTTAAGCTCGACCTTGTAAAAGGAGAATACATCAAATTGGCTGATGCACTATCGCGAAGGGCAGACTATCTGGGCACGCTAGTGATCAAGTTTGGAATTTCTGACGATGTAACTCAATCCATTGTGGAAGCCTATCGAGAGGACGCAGTCATTTCTGAGATCATCAGCAAACTGGAAGCTAAAGATAAGGCTACTTCGATGAGTTTGTGCTGGTTTATTGCTTGCTGTTCCTTGAAAAGGTTGGGAATAAATGATTATGGATTCCGAATAGAGAATCTTTGCGTAGTCAATTTTTAGGATAATGTCACGATGCAACCAGTCATTTTGGCTATAAAAAGACAGCAACAAATTTGGTGCAGAAATTTTGGTGGCCCACAATGATGGATGATGCAAAGAAGTATATGTAGAAACTTGCCAAGTTTGTCAACGTGACAAACCACAGACGCAGGCACCACTTGGTCTTATCAAGCCTTTGCCCATCCCTGGTGGTGCAGGTCAAAGTGTGTCCATGGATTTCATGGATACCCTTGTGACCAGCAAGAGCAGTAAACGACACATCTTTGTCATTGTGGACAGATTCAAAAAGTATGCTAGACTAATCGCTATGTGTGAGACATATAGGACCCACCATGTCATCAAGCTATTTATGGACAACTGGGTACGTGACTTTGGTCTCCCTAAGTCTATTGTAAGTGACAGGGATGTCAGATTCACTAGTGAACTGTGGCAAAGTACAACCCATTTGATGGGTACCTGACTGCAAATGACATCAGGGAACCACCTTGAGTCAAATGGACAGGCTGAACAGATGAACCGGGTAGTGCAGCACTTGCTTGGACGTTATATTAAGCCAAGTCAGGATGACTGGGACGAGAAGCTACCCCTCGTCGCCAGCCTGTACAATAATGTCGTGCACAACACTACCGACATGACTTCCTGTTACCTGAACATCAGCCAACTGCATCACCTGGCGACATAGAGTTTGTTGTCGAATACGAACAGATGTTGCAGCAGGCTGTAGATCACATCAAGAAAGCTCAAGATGCCATGGTCGCATTTGAGAATAGACAGAGACGGTCGTCTGAGTTTCGGGTAGGTGAACAAGTTTGGGTAAAGTTATCTGAGTTGGGCCAGGAGTTAGGAATCTCACGTAAATTGATGCCAAAGTACTTTGGCCCTTGGGAAGTTCTTGATATAGTGGGAGCTGCGTAGCATCATGTTTGCGTTCGGAGGCAAACCCGAACATGTTCACCCGAACACGAACTGGAGCCCAAAACTCTCCGAATGCGAACATAAAAAAATATTAATAAAAAAATGTCTCAGGAAAATCTGAAGATTGTATATGTCAAGTGAACAACAATACAAGCAACTTTTGCCTTGGAGTCATGTTTAAATTCTTAGCCAAATGCGAGTTAAAAAATAAAAAACCAATTTTTTTTTTATTATTATTTTTTTTACGAAAAAAGAACGTTCGCCCGAACACGTTCGCAAGCTGTTCGCGTGAACGTGGAAGGGCGAGAACATGTTCGCCGTGCTACGCAAAGTGGGAGATAAACCAGATGGCCCATCCTATGTCATTCGCATCCCTGGACATCTATGTACACACCCTGTCTTCCATGCATCAAAGTTGGCACCTTTCTCTGTCATTGATAAATTTCCCTCGAGAAGATCAATGCTGCCCCCAACCATGGACAGACATGTGGACATTGACGATATCGTTGAGCACAAGCTGATCGCTGTGCCCAAGCCTCCAGGCAGGGGACATCCTCCAAAACTGCAGATGCAATATCGAGTGCGGTTCATACATCATATTGATCCTAAAGAACATCGGTGGTTTACAAGAGAAGAACTAATGAAGACCGCTTCCCAAATTATCTGCAGTTACGAACAAGATCTGAAAGGGAAGCAGCCTGCTACGTGATGACTTCTCAGAGGACTATAGAAGTAAAGGAGGGAGTGTGAGGGTTTGGTCCCTCGGCATAACTGCGTAACGCCCTACATCAAGCATGTGCCCGCCCTAAGTGCAGGAGGGCCTATGAACTCGTCAATTTTTGTAAAATCTTGGTCGGCTTCAGACAGTTGCCACGCGCCACATGGTTACATCCACATTGCTTGTGAGAATCATGATATTTGTGAGCCCTCCAGGCTCTTCGGGCAACATGGTAGAAGCAGGGAGCATTGCGCGTTTGCTCCTGGGTGGTTGGGCATGCCTAACCAAATCGGTCCCAGGCCACTGTTTGAAAGGGCCTGGTCACAAACACTTTGGCCGGGATTGAAGCTACTGGGAACTCTGATTCACATGGGGGAAAGGCAAGCAATGCGCCCGCCACTTTTGATATAGGAAAGTGCAGGGCACTGGAGGGGGAATGGGTCACTTGCAAGTTGGGGGCGACAGTGCTGCTGAAGCGATTGCTCGTGGGTTGCTAGCTGTGCTAGTGCAGGTGCTGCGAGCACGCGGGGACGTGCAAGGTGTAGGGCGCTGCTGAGGGTAGTGCCATAGCCAGCCCGATGTAGCCGGGGCTCGGCTTGGGCATAGCCAGTGAAGGTGGTGGTTGTCTTTGTGTATGAGGGAGAAGTGGGTGAAGAAGTCAAAGGGGTGAGAGAGAGAGAGAGAGAGAGAGAGAGAGAGAGAGAGAGAGAGAGAGAGAGAGAGAGAGAGAGAAGAGAGAGAGATGGGGTTGATGATGTGAGGGCACATACCTGGTCTTGGCGATGGTCTACATGGGTCGACATCTTCATGTACGTCGGCTCTGCTGCTGACGTCAACCGGATGCATTGTCAATTCGTAGGCTGCTAATAAGCTGTGCGATCGTAGTTCTCGACACTGAGCGGCAAATATGAGGAAGGACTCTGTATACATACGTTGGTGGTGGCGAGAGTATGCTCTCATTGACATTCAAATTCACTGCTTTGTTTCTCTATTGGTGGAATATCAGTGCATTACTACTTTCTGGATAGTCTTTGGACTTGCTGGCTTTCAACGTGATTTTGCACTCTCGGATTTTTGTCATTTCGCTATTGTTCATTTTCCTTGCAGCTGGGCACTCTCCAACCGTCGAGAGTACTTTCCATGGTGGTTTGTGCCGATGCTCCTACTCTCCAATCCTGAGTGCACTAGTAGACACCGTGACAACAGAAGAAGACAGGGCGTCGTTACCATTTTCGTCCGCTCGGACTCAAGGCACACTATCCAAATTCGGGGTCCTACCGTGAGTTGCTCAAAGGTCTTTCCAAAAACCAACGGTCGCATGCTGGGGACTCTCCGCCCTTCGAGAGTGTTTTTCCATGGTGGTTGCCGATAACTATCTGAAGTTTTTTTTAGGTTAAAATAGGAGAGTCAGTGCAGTTGTGTGAAAAACTCTCTGATTGTGGCGAGTGGAGGAGAAAAGGTTAACAACAGTCGTGTTTTTCATCACCACTTCAAGACACCCTTCACCACTTTAAGACACCCTTCACCCTCAGAATGCAGCCTGCCTAAACAAGTGGTTTTTAGGGTCTTCGGACCTTTCAACACTTCATGACACCCTTCACCACTTCAGGATGCGGCCTGCCTAAACAGGTGGTTTTCAGGGTCTTCGGACCTTTCACCACTTCATGACCATTCATGATTTTCAGACTGCCCAAAACTCTCACTTCACCACTTCAGGATGCAGTGTGCCTAAACAGATGGTTTTCAAGGTCTTCGGACCTTTCACCACTTCAGGACCATTCGGGATTTTCAGACTGCCCAAAACTCTCACTTAAATATTTTCACTCTTGAATTTTCAGCTACCCGTTAACCGCTTGTGGAGTGGGAGTAGTGCAACGAGACCATGGTGGTTTCTGACAGCTATCTGAGGGTTTTGGGGGGTAAAATCGAAGAGTCGGTGCAGTGGTGAAAAACTCTTCGATTTTGGTAAGCGGAGAGTAGTGCAGCGGTGAAAAACTCTCTGACTTCGACGACCGGAGAGTAGTGCAGCGAGACCCATAGGCGCTCGCCTTACCACTTTTCAAATGTGCGAAATGCCACTGAACATTCCACTAAAAGATGAACGGATACACATGCAATATTTTTGTCTTCTTTAAATTTGGAGTCTTTTTTAGATTTGAAGACTGGTGCGGGGCCCATAGGGCCTGGGCGCTCGCTGCACCACTCCTCAGATGTGCAGAATGCCAATAAACATTCTGCTAGAATATGGACGGATACACATGCCATGCTTTTGTTATTTTCAGGTTTGGAGCCTGGTGCATTGAGGCTCATAGTTGGTTCCATTTACGAGCCATCCGACAAGTTTGGCAAACGTGGTTTCATTTACTCGCTAAACTTGGTTGGAGAAAGACATGTCATAACTTTTCACCAGTTTATCAGTTTTCTTTTCAAGTTGTCGCAGAATGTGGCTAGGGCCGAGTTGCACTACCCGCCATCTGCCAAGTTTGGCATTTGTGGTTGCACGTACTCACCAAACTTGGTGGGAGAAAAACCTGTCAGAACTTTTAACCAGTTTTGCTTTTCAGTCCACCAGAGAGTGTGGCGAGGTCGCGGTTCCACTTACCAAACTTTGGTGGGAGAAAAACTTGTCAGAGCTTTTCACCAGTTTTATTTTTCAATCCACCACAGAGTGTGGTGAGTTCCGTCTCTCTATTGCTGTTTGTGGAGGGTTGCCCTTGCTCGACAAATTTGGTGGGAGAAAACCTGTCAGAACTTCTCACCACTTGTTTTTTTCAATCCGCCACAGAGTGTGGCGGAGTGTGGCGAGTACCCGACTCTCTATTGGTGTCTTGTGGAGGGTCTTCCTTGTGAACCCTCCAGAAAAATACTTGAGCTTACATCTTCAGTGCCGGAGAGTAGGCGGATGGAACTTCGTTTGTGTGAAAGTGAAATAGTGGCCAGTAATGCAACCACGCCTCCACAATCGCCCCAATTTAACTTCTTTTCACTTGCCATGCCATGAATTCTGGTGGATGGTGAGTAGTGGTACTAGGCCCATGATCAGCCTTGCATTGACATGATTTAGTCGTTGCAAGACACCAACCTCCGCCCCGCCAGTAACCTGAATAACTTACATGTCGAATGAGCCCTGTTTTTGCTCAACCCCCCTCCCCTCGGCCCTCACCAGTTTTATCCTGCTGTCCTCCGTTTCACATTCCCTTTTCTTCCTCTCCGAATCAGGGTGTACTCACACTAGCACTTTCCAAAATGCATCTTACTGCAATTACGGCCTGCCCTGCATGAACCTAAGTGCAATTACATCTACAACGAGGAAAATGTCCTAGTGTGAGTATGCCCTTAGAAAGTTCTGCTTTCCCTTTTCTTTTCAACTTATCTTTATGGGCTTATTTTTTTTTCTTCTCCTTCTCTTCTTTTTTCTTCTTTTTTTCCCTTATTTTGTTCTTCTGCTTAAGAGGGAAGCGTTGCTGTTCTTCTGCGGATGCCCTATCTTGTTTTCATTGTTCATATCCATGATGCGAGGATTTGGGTCCTCGACAGGCGTAAGGGGGCGCCCTGGTACAAATGTGCCCGTGCGTTGCTGTTCTTCTGCGGATGCCCTATCTTGTTTTCATTGTTCATATTGACGATGTGAGGATCTGGGTCCTCGGGAGGCCTAAGGGGCCCCGGTTACAGATGTGCCCGCCCTGAGTGAAGGCGGAACTAACAAATCTCAAAAGGCCCATTGCTGTCAATTTCGTATTTGGGGTCCAGGCAGTTCTGACGCGCCAGTTGGTTGAGGGAAACACAGGCCGAGCAGCAAAGATATACCATGGCCTTCCAGGCCTTTCGGAAAATGCACGCCTTGGGCAAGAATCACAGCCTCATACACAGACAGTTGGGGGACCCAACCGAACGAGGCCCAACAGCTGCAACAGAGGCACAACCTCCTGGGGCCTACCGGAAGCTTCTAGGTAGGGGCCCAGGCCAGCCAGGCCGTCGGGGGCGTGCAGGCTCTTTCCATATAGGAAAGATCTCGCTGCCTGGGCTCTCATTGAGGCACTTGCCAGATGATGCGGCAGCGCTGCTGGAGCAATTGCTCACGGGGTGCTGAGCGCTAAGGGCAAGGTGCTGCGCGCGTGCGGTCGTGTAGGAAAGCAGGGCGCTGCTGAGGGCAGCGCCATAGCCCAGCCTCCATGGTTGACTGGGGCTTGGACTACAGTGAGGCGCAGGGGTGGTCTTCGGGTGTACAAAGGGCGGACGTGGGTGTAAGTCAGGGGAGAGAGAGAGGGATGATGATGATGATGATGATGATGATGTGAGGGAACATACTTGGTATTGGCTATGGTTTGCATTAGGCGACATCTTCAAGTACTTCGTTGGCTGCTGACGTCAACAGTTGCATTGTCAACTAGTAGGCAGACAGTAGTTATGTAGGAACTAGGCTGGGTGTCGAGCGCCAAGTAGGGAGAAGGGAGTGGACTCTTATGTTGGTGGTGGCGAGAGCAAGCTCTCATTGACATTGGTTTTTAGTGTTACGAATCTCCATTGGTGTTATATTGGTGCAATGCCGCTTTTTGGACACTGAGATACTATCTGGCTTTCAATGTGATTGTGCATTTTGGATATTGTCATCTCGCTGTTGCTCATTTTCCTTGCAATTTGGTATCGGAGCTGGTTTGAATTGCGCTTTACTTGGTTCTTTGCAATAGCTGTTCGGTGCTTTGCATGAGGTGTGGGGCAGTGATAAGGCTTGGGCATGAAACGATTGGCGACCCAGGGTCGTGTGGGCGCGCCAGGAAGCTATGTGGTGACATTAGGGGTGTACGCTGGATGTTAAGAGCTCGCTGATGTGGAGTTTAAGCCGAGGTGGAACTACATTTCGCTGTTTGTTGTGCCGAGGCAAAGTTCGGTTATCATAAATGCATGTCAGGTTGCCGGTGAGAACTCTGTGGTTGGGGGCAACATTATGAGGTACGTTGCTCTCTTTCTTATTTACCCTCTCATTACTTCTTACCGTGAGGAAGTGAGTTCTGTCTTGAGAGTCCTCTCAATGTGAGGTGTTGCGAGCGCTCAACCTTGAGAGTCGAAATTCTTCCTGGGCAGCAAGCTGGTGGGAGATGGGCGAAGCACGCTGGTCACGGTCACCATGCCTGACCTGTTGGGACTAGTACACACATGCTTTGCCGCAAGTCCATGGTTCTGCTGCTGCGCAATAGAGGTCAGGCAGGGCATGCCAGCCCTTTGAGAGACGCTCACCAGACTGTCTATAATTATTTCTGGCAGGATTTGAGTTGAATACTGGCTGTGATCGGTGTGCTGTCTGCGGTGTTAAATAATTCCTGAGGACCTTGTGGGCTGTCCTTAAACTGCCTCTTGATTAGGCAGATCAAACCGGAAGTAAGGCTCGTTGCATGTGAGGGTAAACAACGTGTAGCGGCTGGCAGGTTCGGCATAGACTTGGGGCACAGGGGTGGGCCGGATTGCACACCTTCAGACACGCTGCTCAACCAGATGCTCAGGGCATTGACACAAAATGACCACTCAAGAAGGATACAGGGAGAGGGGGGATTCTGGTAACTGTTCACAGAGAAATAATCAGAAAATATTCCATCCAGCATGCATCTCTGCAGTTGATATTTTTTTTTTGATTATTTAGTCGTTACGGGCTTGACTGACAACTAATACAGACAACTGCAAATGGTTAGTATTCTTTGCTGCATGCATTTTGTTTCAGAGTAATCAAAAAATAGAATTAGTATTACCTGTAGGATCTGACACTCGTTGTTGTGTACCACTTGACTACTTCTCTGCAGGCTGACCGAAACTAGTAGAAACTCATACTCGGTTGGGTGTCATGTTGAGGTAGTATTCAGTGTGGATTCTAGTTTAAATCACAAACACTGTAGCTCATGAGTGATGCAGGCAGTAGGGATCAGGAGCGATTAGTGGGACCTCTTAAAGTTACCCGTAGAACTGCTCTCAGTCGACTGATCACTTTCCCAGAGTTAGGAGAGGAAAGGAGGCTGCGGAGGGAAGTCAGGGAGAGGGCGACATTAAGGAGGGTTAGGTCAGCGAAAGCCAGCTTAGAGGCCGCAATGGCTACTTCCTCTACGGTGTCGTAGGCCTTGTCCCAGGCCTCTTCGTCAGGTGCCAGTCAGGGTATCTTACAGGGTATTGCTAGTCAAACTGTTGGCTCGCAAGTCAGCCAACAAACTCAACTCACATCGGAGGATTATGAAATCCTCCAAGCAGAAGAGCTTCATGACGAGCTGCAGCGACAGTTGAGAGAGGCAGCAGGGAGGAGACAAAGAGCTATATTGAGAAAGCTAGACTTGGGAGCAGGAGACAGGAGCTAAGTAGATTAGAGACACTAGACGAGTCCACACTTGATCCTGCGTTGCAAGCGTTGTGTAATTCGTTCGTTTGCGTGGCAGAAACGCAGGTTGTGCAACAGGAAGTGCTGGCTGAACTGGTGACTGGCCAGAACCGGATTTTGGCTGCACTGCAGGCTCCTCGTCCAGTGATGAGGCAGCCTCAGTACATTGTAGCTCCCCCTTAGGTTGCAAGTCCCTCCGTGACGTCGTGGCCAGTAGGGCCCTCCTTTTTCCCCATGTTTGGCATGCCTCCAACATGTGGTTTAGTATCAGCTAGTGGTGCGGTCCTTAGAGTTTCTTCAGTGCCATCAATGACGGTGGCAGCTACAGTGCCATCGTCAGGACAAGCTCAGGTTACCACGCAGCAACCTGTCTTAGTGGCTATGCAGCCACTGTAGCAATTACCTAGGCAAATCCAACCCATGCAGTGGATGCCCAAGATTCCCTTGCCGAGTCCTAAGCCCTTCTCTGGCGACAAGAAGAAGGATGAGGACCTGGATACCTGGGTGAGGATTGTGCCTACCTATGTGAGGCACAAGCTCACTTGGCCAGAGCAGGAAGTTATAGTCGCTGCCTCATTTTTAGAGGGATGGGCAGCATGGTGGTAAACGGGTTAGTGCAGGAGCAGGGCTATGGTCAGAACTTCGATGACTGGGCCCAGGCTCAGCCATTGGAAGACTTTGTACGGACTGTGTACAACAGGTGGCATGACCCTCAAGGGGCTAAGAAGGCCACTAGCATGATCAACAGTCTCTTTTCCAAAACGTACCGGACTGTACGCGAGGTCACACTCGCAGGTGCTCACATATTATTTGAGATGTCTGCCTACAGATGTCAAAAATAAATTGGTGGACGAGGCCAACATCAATGTCCATAGCTTCGCTACGTTCAACAAGAAAGCCTTAGATATAAAGGCTAAGCTTGGGTGCGCGCATCAGGGTTAGTCAGATGGTAGGAAGAAGAGACTTTCCCAAGACTGGAAGAAAAATCAACTCATGTTCGTCAACCATGATGGTCAGGCGATTGAGATTGATGATTTCCCAGACTACGGGGATGAGACAGAGCAGGATGGGGCCAGCGAGACTTCGGATGGGGGAGTCGTGCCACCTATCAAAGAGAAAGCTAGGGGGACCGGGAAACAAAAGGTGGGCCGGTCCAAGGGTCAGGGCGACCAAGGAACGCCCGCATGGGTAAAACTTGGTTTAGATTTCGAGGTGTGGAGGGACCGAGTTGCTAGGGGTACTTGCGTGAACTGTGGCAACTATGGCCACAAGTCCAAGATTTGCCGACGCGAGAAAGTCACAACGTAGGTAGCGTCTCCAACGGTGGTGGGCTTATCTTCGAACCCTGGCGGTGCTTCTGCGAGCACTTCGCAGAGAAACACCTCGGGCCAGTAGGAGTGTTAGCCGCTCTTACTCGTGCTGAAGTGGCAACGTTGCCTTCGCCACTTCAAATGTTGGATAAGGCTAGTGACCTATCCATCGCCCCGCAAACACAATCAGACCCACTGATGCTCTGTTCGAGAGATGTGTCTGATTCCCTAGAAGAGTTACAAACTGAGTGGTCAGGGAAGGACCACAGATACTCTTGGGTGATCATTGGTAAAGGTCCTAGGGGTGAACATTTTGTGGTAAAGGTTGAGGTAGGTGGCCGCAAAGTGGGCGCCTTCGCAGACATAGGCTTTACACAGAACTTCATCAGTCGGGCTTTTGTGGATAGGCTGCGCCTAGGGGACCAAGTGCAGTGGCTCAACAAATCTGTAGCATCAACGCTAGCCAACAAGCACCGCATGGTTGTACAAGACTATGTCAAGGACGTAGTCTACACCTTCTCCTACGAAGGAGGGGAACGGAGACAAAATCTCGTTCCTTGTCAGTGACGAACTGCCATTTGACATGCTGCTAGGTATGTACTACCTCGAGGTTGGTCAACCTCAATTCGGTTGGGATAAAAAGGTGATGATCCACAAATTGCCCATCGGTAGAACCGTTAGAGTGCATAAATTTAAAGCTAGCAGTCTAGTGGAAAACTACGGGTGCATGTGTGCATCATCCTCCTAACTACTATAAGCAGAATCGCGAGGAAGGCATGTACTTAGTCTTTGTCTTTGAGAAAGAGGAGGCCGTAAAATCACCCCCAGAGATAGAAGCGGTAGTCGCATAATATTCAGATCTGTTTGAGAAGCCCACATGTGTGGTGGAAAGGGAGTTTGTCCACGCGATAGAAATCGTCCCTGGTAGCAAGGTAGCTAGAGGACGGATCTATAGGATGTCTCCTGCGGAGTTGGATGAGCTCCGCCGCCAACTCAAAGAGCTAATAGAGAAGGGATGGATTCGACCTAGTACCTCCCGTTCCTAAGAAGGGTGGTGCCTTAAGGATGTGCGTTGACAATAGGGGCCTCAATGACATCACCGTAAAGAACGCAGAGCCCCTACCCGACATTGACGACATATTGGGTAGTGTGCAGCAATGCCGATACTTTACTAAGATAGATCTAAAGTCCGGATACCATAAAATTGCCATTAGACCTGAGGACCAACACAAAACCGTTTTCTAGACCAGGTATGGTCTGTACGAGTTTGTGGTGATGCCCTTTGGTCTATGCAATGCCCCTGGGACATTCCAGCACGCATTGAATAGGATTTTTCATGATTACTTAGACAAGTTTATCGTTGTGCACCTCGACGATATCCTTATCTTTAGTAAGACTGTAGAGGAGCATGTTGAACACTTGAAATAAGTTCTAGGTCTCCTTAGACAGCACCACTACAAGGTCAACTTGGAGAAATGCGAGTTCGATCGCACCAAGATCTTGTACCAGGGTCATGAAATTCCTGCGGCTGGGTTGAGGCCGGATGATGCCGAAGTGGCCAGCATACAAGACTGACCCAGACCTCAGACTGGTACTGCGGTCCCATCGTTTTTGGGGATGATGGGCTACTATCGTCCGTTCGTAAAAAAACTATAGTACTATAGCTTTCCCATTAACAGATCTAACACGCCTTGACTCTCCTTGGAAGTGGACTGAAGAGTGTGAAGCAAGCTTCAAGAAATTGAAGTATGCTTTGACACACTACGAAGTCCTCAAGTTTCAGATCCTGAGCAACCCTTTGTCATGACCACAAATGCCAACCAATATGGCATAGGCGCGGTCCTTGCGCAAAAGGAGGGGAAAAAGTTGAGGCCCATCGAGTACATGAGTAAGAAGATGCCATTTCAGAAGTTAGCAAAGTCCACGTATGAGTGTGAGCTCTATGCCCTCTACAGAGCACTGGTCCATTGGAGACACTATCTCCTAGGTAGATTCTTCTACTTGAGGTCTGACCATGAGACTTTGCGCTGAATCAAGACACAACATGTACTCTCTGACACCCTCAAACGGTGGATTCAAGTGATAGACATGTATGACTATCAACTTGATCCAATCAAGGGAGAGTACAACAAAGTGGCTGACGCATTATCGCGAAGGGCGGATTATTTGGGAGCGCTAGTGACTGAGTTTGGTATATCAGACAATGTAACGCGATCCTTGGTGGAAGCCTATCAACAAGATTCAGTTATGTCTCTGATCATTTGTAAATTTCAAGCGAAAGATAAAGTAGCTTCCGACGAATTTACGATGGTAGATGGCTTGCTGTTTCTTGAGAGAAAGCAGGGACTAAAAGGTCCCAGATAGAGAGTCTTTGCGTAGTTTGTTTTTAGGAGAGTGCCATGATGCAACTGGCCATTTCGGCTATAAAAAAACTTTTTTGGTGGCAAAGAGATATGTTGAAACCTGCTAGGTTTGCCAACGGGACAAACCTAGGACTCAGGCTCTGCTTGGGTTTCTTAATCCCTTGCCGATTCTTGAAGGTCGTGGTGAGAGTGTGTCCATGGACTTCATGGATACTCTTGTGACCAGCAGGACTGGCAAGAGACACGTCTTCGTTATAGTGGACCGCTTTTCCAATCATGCAAGACTTATCACTATGCAAGAGTCTGCTAAAATTGACTATGTCATCAAACGGTTTATGGATAACTGGGTACGCGATTTTGGACTCCCCACGTCTACAGTGAGTGATAGGGATGCCAGATTTACCAGCGAGCTGTGGCAGTCAACAGCTGAACAGATGGGCACCAAGCTGCAAATGACGTCAGGGAATCACCCTGAGTCAAATGGCCATGCAAAACAGATGAACCGAGTAGGACAGCACCTGCTTCGACATTATATCAAGCCAAGTCTGGATGACTGGAATGAGAAGTTACCTCTCATTGCCAGCAAGTACAACAATAATGTGCACAATACTACTGGTACGACTCCCAACCAATTGCATCTTGGTTGGAAGCCCAGAACTGCACTTGACTTTCTGCTGCCCGAAAGACAGCCCACTGCAGCACCTGGCAGCCTAGAGTTTGCTGTCAAGCATGAGCAGATGCTGCAGCAGGCCGTCGAGCATATTAGAAAATCTCAGGATGCTATGATCGCATCTGAGAATAAGCATAGGCGGCCCTCTAACTTTCAGGTAGGTGATAGAGTTTGGGTCAAATCATTTGAAGTGGGTCAAAAGCTGGGCATATCTCGGAAATCGATGCCACAGTACTTCGGTCCTTGGGAATCCTAGACATAGTCGAGGATCAGATAGGCGAACCTTCCTATGTGATTCATATCCCCCCTCATTTACACACACACCCAGTTTTTCACGCCTCAAAGGTGGCACCTTTCGCAGAGACTGCACAGTCTCCCTCAAGACGATCAATGCTGCCCCCAACCATGGATGGTGAAGTCGACATCGACGATATCGTGGAGCATCGAATGATACCAATGCCTAAACCGCAGGGCAGAGGCCGCCCTCCCAAGCCGAGAATGCAATATCGTGTCAGATTCAAACACCATCTTAATCCCAACGAAGATCTGTGGTTCACTAGAGAAGAACTCCTGCGAACAGCACCTCAAGTGATTGCAGGCTATGAAAGAGAACTCAAGGGAAAAATGCCTGCAAATTAGAAGACTTCTCAGAGGACTGTCGAAGTAAAGGAAGAGGGAATGTGAGGATCTGGATCCTTTGCAGGCCTAAGGGGCCCCTGTTACAGATGTGCCCGCCCTAAGTGAAGGCGGGCCTAACAAATCTCATGAGGCCCATTGCTGTCAACTTCGTATTTGGGGTCCAGGCAGTTGTGGCGCGCCAATTGGTTGAGGGAAACACAAGCCGAGCAGCAAAGATATGGCCTTCCAGGCCTTTCCGGAAATGCAGCCCCTGGGCCAGAATCGCAGCCTCATACACAGACAGTTGGGAGACCCAACCGAACAAGGCGCAGCAGCTGCAATAGAGGCACAGCCTCCTGGGGCCTACCGGAAGCTTTTGGGCAGGGGCCCAGGCCAATCAGGCCTCCGGGGGCATGCAGGCTCTTTCCATATAGGAAAGAGCTCGCTGCCTGGGCTCTCATTGACACACTTGCCAGATGATGCGCCAGCACTGCTGGAGCAATTGCTCGCGGGCTGCTGAGTTTTAAGGTCAAGGTGCTGTGCGCGTGTGGTCGTGCAGGAAGTGGGGCGCTGCCGAGGGCAGCGCCATAGCCCAACCTCCATAGCTGGCTAGGGCTTGGACTACAGTGAGGCGCAGGGGTGGTCTTCGGGTGTAGAGAGGGAAGACGTGGGTGTAAGTCAGGGGAGAGAGAAAAGGATGATGATGATGATGATGTGAGGGCACATACCTGGTTTTGACGATGGTCTGCATTGGGTGACATCTTCAAGTACTTCATTGGCTGCTGAGGTCAACAGTTGCATTGTCAATTAGTAGGCAGACAATAGCTGTGTAGGAAGTAGGCTGGGCCCCGAGCGCCAAGTAGGGAGAAGGGACTGGACTCTTATGTTGGTGTTGGCGAGAGCAAGCTCTCATTGACATTGGTTTTCAGTGTTAAGAATCTCCATTGGTGTTGTATTGGTGCAATGCCGCTTTCTGGACATTGAGATACTATCTGGCTTTCAATGTGATTGTGCATTCTGGATATTGTCATCTCGTTGTTGGTCATTTTCCTTGTAACGATCTGGAAAGGGAGGGAAATCTGGTGAAAAGTCATGGGCTTGTGCTCCACCCACTTACTTGGCGGATTTTCCCCAACTTAGGGCCTACTCATCCATAGCCAGCAAAATTGCAACATTTGCCACATCCCCATTTGCAATTTTGCTAGGACGGCCTCTGGTGAAAAGTCATGGGCTGGTGCTCCACCCACTTGGGGGATTTTCTCGAACTTAAGGCCTACTCATATATAGGCAGCAAAATTCCAAAGTTTGCAACATTTGCTACATCCCATTTGCAATTTTGCTGGGCTCCCTAGGGCCAAGTCCCACATGCACCATCGAGTCGAGCTAGCTCAATGGTACGATGGCCGAAAATGAGAAAAAAAATGCTCGAGATGATAAATTGTATTTTTCAATTGTGATTTCTGATTTCCCGTGGAGTAGTGCTCCACGGACTTAGTTCCCTAGAGGATTCGGGGGCTCCGCCTGAGTTGACTGACAAATCAATTCTCCTCACTTGCCCATGTTCAGCTGCAGATTTGGGGTTCCTTAACCTTGGAATGTGCGAGGATCTGAGTCCTCGACAGGCCTAAGGGTCCCCTGCTGCAAATGTGCCCGCCCTAAGTGAAGGCGGGCCTAACAAATTGCGAGAGGCCCTAAGCTGTTAAATTCGTATTTGGGGTCCAGGCAGTTTCGTCGCGCCTGTTGGTTGAGGAAACACAGGCCGAGCAGCAAGGAAATTCCACGGCCTTCTAGGCTTATCCGAAAGTGCAGGCCCTGGGCGAGATTCGCAGACTCGTACACAGACAGTTGGGAGGCCCAACTGAATGAGGCCGAGTAGCTACACCAGAGGCGCAACATCCTGGGGCCTACCGGAAGCTTTTGGGCCCAGGCCCAGACCAGTCACGCTGCGAAGGCAGGCAGACTCTTTTCATATAGGAAAGAGCTCGTTGCGTGGAGCCTAAGGGTCCCCTGCTGCAAATGTGCCCGCCCTAAGTGAAGGCGGGCCTAACAAATCGCGAGAGGCCCTAAGCTGTCAAATTCGTATTTGGGGTCCAGGCAGTTTCGTCGCGCCATTTGGTTGAGGAAACACAGGCCAAGCAACAAGGAAATTCCACGGCCTTCTAGGCTTATCCGAAAGTGCAGGCCCTGGGCGAGATTCGCAGCCTCACACATAGACAGTTGGGAGGCCCAACTGAACGAGGCCCAGTAGCTACACGAGAGGCGCAACATCCTGGGGCCTACCGAAAGCTTTTGGGCCCAGGCCCAGACCAGTCACGTTGCGAAGGCAGGCAAACTCTTTCCATATAGGAAAGAACTTGTTGCGTGGAGCCTCATTCAAGCGCTTGCATGCTAGTGGCAGCGCTGCTGGAGTGGACGCTCGTGGGCTGCTGCTGGCGCTGAGAGGCGAGGTGAAAGCGCGTGCGGTCGTGCAGGGAACAGGGCGTTGCTGAGGGCAGCGCCATAGCCCAGCCTCCATAGCTGGCTGAGGGCTTGGTTATACAGTGAGGCGCAGGGGTGGTCTTCGGGTGTACAAAGGGGAAGACGTGGGAGAGAGAGAGAAGGATGATGATGATGATGATGATGATGTGAGGGCACATACCTGGTATTGGCGATGTTCTGCATGGGCGACATCTTCAAGTTCTTCGGAGGCTGCTGACGTCATTAGTTGCATTGTCAATTAGTAGGCTAGTAGTAGCTGTGTAGGGAGTAGGCTGGGCGCCAAGCGCCAAGTGGGGAGATAGGGACTGGAAACACATGTTGTGGTGGCGAGAGCAAACTCATTGCCATTGGTTTTCAGTGCTACGATTCTCGATTGGTGTCATATTGGTGCAATGCTGCTTTTTGAACACTGTGATACGATTGGGCTTTTAATGTGATTGTGCAATCTGAATGTTGTCATCTCGCTATTGCTCATTTTTGGTATCACAGCTGCTCCGAACTGCGCTCATTGGTTCTTCGCAATAGCTGTTCGGTGCTTTGCATGAGGTGTGGGGCAGTGATAAGGCTTGGGCGTTGGACGTAAGGCGGCCCAAGGTCGTGTGGACGCGCCAGGAAGCTATGTGGTGACATTAGGGGTGCATGTTGGATGATGAGAGCTTTCTTACGGTGCAATTTGAGCCGAGGTGGAACTGCAGGGGATTGTGGGTTGTGTCGAGGGGTCGACCGGTCATCATAAATGCACATCAGGTTGCCGGTGAGAAATCTATGGTTGGGGGCAGCATTATGAGGTACGTTGCTTTCTTCCTTATCTACCCTCTTCATTACTTCTTACTGTGAGGAAGTGAGTTCTGTCTTGAGAGTCCTCTCAATGTGAGGTGTCGCCAGCACTCGACCTTGAGAGTCAACATTCTTCCTGGGCAGTAAGCTGGTGGGAGACGGGCGAAGCCTCTGAAGGGCCCTGGACGAAGCTGTCGGGTCAAGGTCACCATGCCAACCCGATGTGACTAGTACACGCATGCTTTGCCGCAAGTCCTTGGTTCTGCTGCTGCGCAATAGAGGTCTTTGAACAAACGCTTTCCAGACCGTCTTTAAATATTTTTGGAGGGGACTCGGTGTTGATTTTGGCTGTGATCGTCGTCATGTCTGCGACGTTAAATAATTCCTAAGGAGTTGCTGGGGATGTCCTTAAATGCGTCCTAATCAGCCAGATCAAACCGGGTGTGAGGCTTGTTGCATGCGAGGATAAACAAAGTGCAAGGGCTGGCAGGTTCGAAGTTGAATTGGGGCACAGGGGTGGGCCGGATTGCACGCCTTTAGACACGCTGCTCAACCAGATGCCTAGGAACGTCGACAAAAAGTGACTACTCGAAAGGGATACAGGGAAAGGGTTGGATTTGGGTAATTGGTCGTGGTTGTACTAATTAGACAAACTGCCATCCAACATGCATCTCAACAGGTAGGTTATTTTTATTTTTGATTATGTAGTTGTTACGAACTTGTTAACAACTGACAAGCAACTGCAGATAGGTTAGTTCTTTCCTTGTTGCATTGCAATCTGTGTAACAGTAATCTAAAAATAGAATTCAAACTTACCTGTAGGACTTGACATTAGTTGGCACCTAACTACCTAACTGTTTCTGTCCAGGCCGACCAAAATTAGTTGTGAATGATACTCGGTTGTGTGTCACGCTGAGGTAGGATTCAGTGTGGATTCTAGTGTAGATCACACACACTGTAGCTCATGAGTGATGCAAGTGGTAGTGAGGAGGAGGAACGAGTAGTGGGACATCTTTAGTGACTCGTGGAACTGCACTTAGTTAATCGATTACTTGGAGTTGGGTCAGGGAGAGGAAAGGCGGCTGTGAAGAGAAGCCAGGAAAAGTTGATATTGGAGAGGGCTAGGTCAACGACAATCAACGCTGAGCGGACACTTGCAGCAGCAAGACTAGCGGACACTAGAGTTAAGGCTGAGGTTACAATGTGTGCTTCCTCTTCAGTGTCACAGGCCTTGTCTCAGGCCTCTTCGTCAGGTGTCAGTCAGGGCATCCCTCAGAGTTCTGTTTGTCAATCTGTTGGCTCACAAGTCAGCCAACAGATGCCACTCGCATCGGAGGATTATGAGATCCTCCAAGCAGAGGAACTTCAGGATGAGTTGCAGTGGCAATTGGATGAAGCAGTAGAGAGAAGAAGAAGAACTATTATGAGAAAAGCTAGACTAGGTAGTAGATTGCAGGAGCTCGACAAGCTAGAGGCACTAGATGAGTCCACTCTAGATCCCGCAATGCAAGCACTGCGAAATTCGCTCCTGTGTGTGGCGGAGACGCAGGTTGTTCAGTAGGAAATGTTGGATGAACTAGTGGCAGCCCAGAAACGAATTTTGGCTGCACTACAGGCTCCTCGTCCAATGGTGAGGCAGCCTCAGTTTGCTGTAGCTCCCCCATCGGTTGCGGGTCTGTCAATGACGCCGTCGCCGGCTGGGCCCTCATTCTCACCTATGTTTGGCGTGCCCCCTCCAGGTGGTTATGTGGCGACTAGTGGTCCGGTCCTTAGAGTCTCTGCCGTACCATGGACGACAGTGGTTGCTACTGTCCCACTGTCAAGCCAGGCCCAGGTTAGTGTGCAACAACCTGTTTCGGTGGCTATGCAGCCACTGCATCAATCTCCTGGGCCAATGCAGCCTATGCAGTGGATGCCCAAAATACCCTTGTTGAGTCCTAAGCTCACTGGGGACAGGAAGAAGGATGAGGACTTGGATACCTGGGTAAGGACGGTGCCTACCTATGTGAGGCACAAGCTTACCAGGCCGGAGCAAGAAGTTGTAGTGGCTGCCTCCTTTTTAGAAGGGTCAGCAACCTGCTGGTTGAATGGCCTAGTGCAGCAGCAGGGCTACGGTCAGAACTTCGATGCCTGGGCCCAGGCCTTAACATTGGAAGACTTCGTACGGTCCGTGTATAATAGGTGGCATGACCCTTAAGGGGCCCAAAAGGCCACAAACACGATCAACAATCTTTGTGCCAGAAGGTACAAGAATGTTCGTGAGCTCATAGATACCGTAGCTGCTCGTGGTACCTGGTGTGCGCTATGACCAGCAGGTACTCCTCACGGATTACCTTAGATGTCTGCCTTCAGAGGTTAGGACAAAGCTGGTAGATGAGGCCTATGTCGAACAACACAACTTCGCTTCTGTCAGCAAGAAGGCCTTAGACATAGAGGCAAAGTTTGGATCCGCGCATCAGAGTCAGGGAGATGGTAGGAAGAAGAGACTTCCCCAGGACTGGAAGAAGAAAGGGCAAGTAATGTCCATCGACCACGATGGTCAGGCGACAGAAATTGACGACTTCCGAGACCTTGGGAGGAGACAAAGCATGATGGGGCCAGGGAGACTTCGGATGGGGGAGTCGTGGCACCCATCAAAGAAAAGGCTAAAGAAGGTAGGCTGGTCTACGTGTCAGGGCGACCAAGGAACGCCCGCGTGGGTGAAACTTGGTTTAGAGTATGAGGTGTGGAGGGACCGAGTTGCTAGGGGTACATGTATGAATTGTGGCAACTATGGCCACACGTCCACAACGTGCCGAGGTAAGGAAGTCCTAACAAGGGTAGCCTCTCCAATGGTGGTGGGACTATCTTCGAACCCTGGTGGCGCTTCTGCGAGCAATTCGGAGGGAAACACCTCGGGCCAGTAGGAGTTTTAGCCGCTCTTACTCGTGCTGAAGTGGTAACGTTGCCTTTGCCACTTCAGGCGTTGGCCAGGGCTAGTGACCCACGTATCACCCCGGAGACACATTCAGACCCACCGACGCTCTGTTCGAGAGATGTGTCTGAGGCCCTAGAAGAGTTAGAGACTGAGTGGTCAAGGAAGGACCCCAAAGACTCTTGGGCGATGGTCAGTAGGGGTCCAAAGGGTGAACATTTGGTGGTAGAGGTTGATTTAGGTGGCCACAAAGTTGGCGCCTTCGCAGACATAGGCTGTACTCGAAACTTCATCAGTCGTGCTTGTGTGGATAGACTGCGCTTAGGGGACCAAGTGCAGCGGCTTAGCAGAGCTGTAGCTTCTACTCTGACCAACAAGCACTAAATGATAGTTAAAGACTATGTCAAGGACGTAGTCTGTTCCTTCTCTTATGGAGGAGGCGAAGTGAGACGAACTGCCCTTCGATATGCTACTAGGCATGTACTACCTCGAGGTTTTGCTCAACCTCAGTTCGATTGGGATAGAAAGGTGTTGATACACAAGCTGCCAAACGGTAGAACCGTTAGACGACAGAAAAGCTAGCGGTCTAGTGGAGAACTACGGTTGCATGTGTGCCTCCTCTTTCTATAACTACTACAAGCAGAATCGCGAGGAGGGCATGTATCTAGTCTTTGTCTCTGAGAAAGGGGAGACCGTTAAAACACCCCAGAGATAGAATCAGTCGTCGCAACATATTCAGACCTTTTTGAGGAGCCCACAGGCGTGGTAGAAAGGGAAGTCGTCCATGCAATAGAAGTCCCAGGCAGTAAGGTACCTAGAGGACGAATCTATAGGATGTCTCCTGCGGAGTTGGATGAGCTCCGTCGCCAGCTCAAGGAGCTCACAGAGAAGGGATGTATTCGGCCTAGTACCTCCCCTTGCGGTGCGCCAATACTATTTGTTCCTAAAAAGGGAGGTATATTGAGGATGCGTATTGACTATAGGGGCCTCAATGCCATCACTGTTAAAATTGCAGAGCCCCTACCTCGCATCGACGACCTACTGGATAAAGTGCAGGGATGCTAATACTTTACTAGGATAAATTTAAAGTTCGGATACCATCAAATTGCCATTAGACCAGAGGATCAACACAAAATCGCTTTTCAGACCAGGTACGGTCTGTACGAGTTTGTGGTGATGCCCTTTGGCTTATTTAATGCCCCTGGGACATTCCAGCACACCATGAATAGGATATTTTACAAGTACTTAGACAAGTTTATCGTCGTGTACCTCGACGATATTCTTATCTTTAGTAGGACTGTAGAGGAGCGCGCTGAACTCTTGAAAATAGTGTAGGTCTCCTAAGACAACACTAGTAGAAGATTAACTTGGAGAAATGCAAGTTCAGTCGCACCAAGATCTTGTACTTGGGTCATGAAATCTCCGCGGATGGGTTGAGGCCGGACGATGCTAAGGTGGCGAATATATGTGATTGGCCCAGGCCTCAGATTGTTACTGAGGTCAGATCGTTTTTGGGGATGAGGGGCTACTATCGTCCGTTTGTTAAAAACTATAGTACTATAGCTTCCCTATTAACAGATCTAACTCGGCTTGACTGAAGAGTGTGAGGCGGCCTTCAGGAAACTGAAGTATGCTTTAACACACTATGAGGTCATCAAATTTCCCGATCCTGATAAACCCTTTGTCGTGACCACAGATGCCAACCAATATGGCATAGGTGAGGTCCTTGCACAAAAGGAGGGGCCAAAGTTGAGACCGATCGAGTATATGAGTAAGAAGATGCCATCTCAAAAGCTAGCAAAGTCAACGTATGAGCGTGAGCTCTATGCCCTATATAGAGCTCTGGTCCATTGGAGACATTATCTCCTAGGCAAATTCTTCTACGTGAGATCTGACCATGAGACCTTGCGTTGGATCAACATGTGCTCTCTGATGCACTCGAGCGATGGATACAAGTGATAGACATGTATGACTATCAACTTGCTCCAATGAAGGGAGAGTACAAGAAAGTGGTTGATGCACTATCTCGTCGAGCAGATTATCTGAGCGCGTTAGTTACTGAATTTGGCATATCTAACGATCTAACTCGATCGTTGGTGGAAGCCTATTAGCAAGATCTAGTTATGTTTGAGATCATCCGTAAATTCCAAGCGAAGGACAAAGTGACTTCGGATGAATTTATGATGGTAGATGACGTGCTGTTTCTTGAGAAGGCAGGGAATAAAAGACTGTGTGCCTAATAGAGTGTCTTTACGTAATTTATTTCTAGGTGAGTGGCATGATGCAACTGGCCATTTTGGTTATAAAAAGACTTCAGCTAACTTAGTGCAGAAATTTTGGTGGCCCACTATGATGCAAGATGCGAAAAAGTGCGTTGAAACTTGCTAGGTTTGCGAAAGGGACAAACCTAGGACTCAAGCTCCGCTTGGGCTTATCAAGCCCTTGCCGATTCCTGAAGGTCCTGGTCAGAGTGTGTCCATGGACTTCATGGATACTCTTGTGACCAGCAGGTCTGGGAAAAGGCACATCTTCGTGATAGTAGACCGCTTTTCTAAGCATGCAAGACTTATGGCTATGCCAGAAACTGCTAAAACTGACTATGTCATCAAATTGTTTCTAGGTAACTGGGTTAGGGGTTTTGGACTCCCTACGTCGATAGTAAGTGATAGGGATGTAAGGTTTACCAACGAACTGTGGTAGGCGACAGCTGAGCAGATGGGTACGAAGCTGTAAATGACGTCAGGGAATCACCCTGAGTCAAACGGCCAGGCAAAAAAGATGAACCGGGTAGTACAGCACCTGCTTTGACATTATATAAAGCCAAGTCAGGATGACTGGGACCAGAAGTTACATCTCGTCGCCAGCCTATACATCAATGATGTGCACAATACTACTGGTAAGACTCCCAACCAGCTGCACCTTGGTTGGAAGCCCCGAACTGCACTTGAATTTCAACTACCAGAAAGGCAACCTACTGCAGCACCTGGCAGCATAGAGTTTGCCGTCAAGTATGAACAGATGCTGCAGCAGGCCGTCAAGCATATTAGCAAGTCTCAGGATGAGATGATCGCATCTGAGAATAAATATAGACAGCCCTCTAACTTTCAGGTGGGTGATAGAGTCTGGGTAAAGTCATCTGAACTGGGCCAGCAGTTGGGGATTTCACGCAAACTGAAGTCATCTGAACTGGGCCAGCAGTTGGGGATTTCACGCAAACTGATGCCACAATACTTTGGGTCCTGGGAGATCTTAGACATTGTACGGGATCAACCAGATGGGCTTTCCTATGTGATTCGCATTCCTGCACACTTGCGTACTTACCATGTTTTCCATGCATCCAAGTTGGAACCTTTCGCCGCCACAGATCAGTTTCCCTTCAGGAGATTAGTGCTGCCCCCAGCCATGGATGGACACGTGGACATTGACGATATTATCGAGCACAAGCTGATGCCTATGCCCAAACCTCCAGGAAGGGGCCGACCGCCAAAGCCACAGATTCAATACCGAGTGCGGTTTAGACATCACATTGATCCTCAAGAAGACCAGTGGTTCACAAGAGAGGAATTAATGAAGACTACTTCCCAAATTATATCAAGTTACGAGAGAAAGCTGAAAGGGAAGCAGCCTGTTACATAAGGACTTCTCAGAGGACTATCGAAGAAAAGGAGGGAATGCGAGGATCTGGGTCCTCGGCAGGCCTAAGGGTCCCCTGCTGCAAATGTGCCCGCCCTAAGTGAAGGCGGGCCTAACAAATCGCGAGAGGCCCTAAGATGTCAAATTAGTATTTGGGGTCCAGGCAGTTTCGTCGCGCCAGTTGGTTGAGGAAGCACAGGCCGAGCAGCAAGGAAATTCCACGACCTTCTAGGCTTATCCAAAAGTGCAGGCCCTGGGCGGGATTCGCAGCCTCATACACAGACAGTTGGGAGGCCCATCTGAATGAGGCCCAGTAGCTGCACCCGAGGCCCAACATCCTGGGGCCTACCGGAAGCTTTTGGGCCTAGGCCCAGACCAGTCAGGCTGCGAAGGCAGGTAAGACTCTTTCCATATAGGAAAGAGCTCGTTGCCCGGAGCTTCATTCAGGCACTCGCATGCTAGCGGCAGCGCTGTCGGAGTGGACGCTCGTGGGCTGCTGCTGGCGCTGAGAGGCGAGGCGCAAGCGAGTGCGGACGGTCGGGCGCAACAACTTCCTGATCGCTACATTAGAAGTCGTGCCGGTCTATTTCGCACCTCGTGCATGCGAGGCGGTCACGTTTGACGTCTTGCACACAGACTTCGACATTATTTTGGGGATGCCTTGGCTCGCAAGTGCGGACCACTTGGTCAACTTCCATCTGCGGACGCTTACCGTTCGCAACGCCTTTGGCACTAAGGTCCGGTGCCAAGTTGTGACAACCAAGTCTTTTCGGTCCACTTGCGCTTACAAGCGGACTGATGAAATTAGCCTATGTTTTCTTAGGACCGTGACAACAATTGACGCTTCACCTACGGGCTTGTTTTTGCACACCCGCGTGGTGCGGTTGCTCGACAAAGTCGCCGCCATCTTCCAGTTTCCTACTGGTGTGGTGACGGATCGGCCGATCTCCCATGAGATCATTCTTGACGCCCGCGTCATGTCGTCGAAAGGATGCATCTATCACATGAGTGAGGAGGAGCTCGTGGTTCTCTGGTTGCAACTTGATGACTTGTTGGAAAAGGATTGGATCCGTCGTAGTAGCGCACCATATGGTATGCTAGTTCTCTTCGTACGGAAGAAGAACAAGGATCTTCGCTTGTGCATCGACTATGTCAAGCTCAATTCACAAACCGTCAAGAATGTGGGGCCTCTTCCTCGTATTGACAATCTTCTTGAGCATTTGAGTGGCGCAAAGTATTTTTCCAAATTGACTTGAAGTCGGGTTATCATGAGATTTTGATACGTCCGCAAAATCATTACAAATCCGCGTTTAAAATGCAGTATGGGCACTTTGAGTGGGTCGTCATGGTTTTTGGCCTCACCAATTCCCCCATGACTTTTAAAGCGGCGACGACTAACGAGTTTTGTTTGATGTTGGACCGATTTGCGCTGGTCTAGTTGGACGGCATTCTCATCTATAGTCGGACCTTGGAGGACCATCTCAAGCATCTTCGACGCGTGTTGGAGATGCATTATCGCTCCAAGTACAAAGCGATCTGCCACAAGTGCGAATTAGTGTTGGAGTATTTGGGCCATTTTGTCACACCGGAAGGCATTAGTCCGTTATTGGATAAAACTCAAGCCGTCCAAGAGTGGCCGAAGCCGAAGAACGTGACGAATGTTCGTTCGTTTCTTGGCCTAGCCGGCCACTATCAACGCTTTATCAAAGGCTATTCGAAGACCACAATCCATTTGACCAACGCTTCAATGCGAGGAGTGGCCATTAGACTTCGGTGGTGATGCGCGGCCTTCCTTTTTAGCCCTCAAAGCTGCCTTGCTATCCGTGGAGGTTTTACGCATCTAGGACCCGCTTTTGCCATCACACTTCACTACCGAACCGTTCGGCTATGGCGTTGGTGTCGTCCTCGAGTAGCACGATGGCATAGATTAACTCTCGGTCGAATGTTTAAGTAAGAAAGTGTCCTCCGTGCATTCGATTGACGACGCACGGAAGGAGTTATTAGCCTTCGTACATGTGCTTAAGCGGTGGCGGCATTTTCTTCTCGGCCAAAGTCAATTTCGATGGGTAACAGGAACAAAATGGACGCAATGCAGGATACTCTAGACCAGATTCTGCAAGCGCTGCATAAGCCAGGGATCCGGCCAACAGCTTTACCATCGCTGCCACTCTCAACGATGACAGGCCTCTATGCAGCTCAATCAGGACCACCACCAAGTGTATCATCAATAGTAGCTCTATCTCAGACTGTTGCTTCTTCATCTTCTGGTCCAGCGACTGTTGCTACACCACAGTCGTCACCTGTCTCACAATAGGGACAGCAATATCCTTGGTACCCCAAGACCCCACTGAACCCACCTGCAACCTTCTTAGGAGATAAGAAGGATGAGGCTCTTGACACATGGTTGAGAACGGTGCCAGTGTGGGTAAGGGCAAAGAGGACATTGGTAGAAGAGCAGGTGATTACTGCTGCATCCTACTTAGAGGGTTCAACAACCCGTTGGCTAAACGGATTGGTAGCTTCAAAGGGCTTCGGCAGGAACATGCATGATTGGGTGCAGACCCACACATTAGAAAGCTTTATGGACTTAGTGGAGGCTCGTTGGCACAACCCTCAACAGACACAGATTGCCACTAATGGGCTCTTGAAACTTGATACTAGAAAGTACAAGTCTGTGCGGGAACTCACCACAGCCATAGAGCGCCTGATCGTCGTCCCGGGAGTGGAGTACAATCCAYAGGTCTTGCTGACCATGTTCCTGAGATGTCTTCCCACAGACATTAGGAATTTATTAGCCAGCGAGGCTCGCAGAGAGTATCACACTTTTGAGTCATTCAGCAAGAAGGCCCTAGACTTAGAGGCTACGCTGGTGGAGCTTAAACCCCTTCTACTGATGGGAGAAAGAAGATGACTCCACAAGAGTGGAAGAAGTAGGGTAGTCGATTGATGATGGTTGATTCCGATGGGAATCAAACCGAGATCGATGATTTTTCCGATCTTGTGGAGGGTTCAGAGTTTGACGGCGAGGAGAGTGCTGAGGGTAGCAACCTCGCCGCCGTAGTCAAGACTAAGGCAGCTGGCCGCGGCAAGGGCGGTCAACAGAGGAGTGAGGGGCAGACCGCTAACCCAAACAAAAGAGCTGCTTGGGTTAGAGCAGGTCTGGATCAAGAAGTGTGGCGGGATCTTTGGTCTCGTGGTGCTTGCATTAACTGCGGTGAGTATGGTCGCACACAGTTCAAATGCAAGAACCCGAAGGTCTCGCAAATGATCCTTCCTAAGGGTGGGTTTCCTTCTTCTCAATCTGGGGCCTCTACGAGCTCCAGCTCGGGAAACACTTAGGGCCAGTAGAAGTTATGGCTGCTTCTACTCTCGTTGAAGCGGGTGATGTACCCTCCCCGTTTCAAGAGATGGCCAAAGCTATTGACTCCTTAGTCACTCCGCAGACGCATCCGGACCCAACTATACTCTGTACGTTGGATGTATCTGAGGCCTTAGAGGACCTTCAAGGTGAGTGGTCGGCAAGGGACCCCCATGAGTCCTGAGTGGCCCTGAGTACAGGTCCTAGAGGGGACCACTTCGTTGTGGAAGTTGAAGTGCGGCGCCTTCGTAGACGTTGGCTCCACGCGAAACTTCATAAGTCGCGACTGCGTTGACAGACTGTGCCTAAAGGACCGGGTGCAGCGCCTTAGTAGACCAGTAGCATCTACTTTGGCCAACAAAGAGMGCATGATGGTGGAGGACTACGTTAAAGATGTAGTCTGCACCTTCTCCTAMCCAGGAGGAGAGATAAACCATAAGATATCATTCCTGGTGAGCGACGAGTTGCCCTTTGACATGTTATTGGGCATGTACTACCTCGAGGTTGCCGAGCCCCAGTTTGACTGGGACAAGAAGGTGTTGAAGCACGAGTTGCCTAGTGGGAGAACCGTGAGATTGGCCAAGTACAAAGCTAGTAGGTTAGTAGACTCCTATGGGTGCTTATGCGCATCTGCCTTTTATAATTATTATAATAGAACAAAGAGGAAGGGATGTATTTAGTCTATGTCTCTGCGAAAGGGGGGGTCGTTAAAACACCCCCAGAGATAGAGACCATCGTCGCCAAGTACCCTGATCTGTTCGAGGAGCCTACAGGAGTCGTAGACAGGGAGATTGTCCATGCCATAGAGATAATCCCAGGTAGTAAAACACCTAAGGGTAGAATCTATAGGATGGCTCCAGCCGAGTTGGACGAACTTCGGCGGCAACTGAAAGAGCTCACAGAGAAGGGTTGGATTCGGCTTAGCACTTCCCCCTTTGGCTCACCAGTATTGTTTGTTCCAAAGAAAGGGGGAACACTAAGGATGTGCATTGATTATAGAGGCCTCAATGCCATCACCGTTAAGAATGCAGAGCCTCTACCACGCATCGACGACCCATTGGATAGGGTGCAGGGATGTAAGTACTACACAAAGACTTAAAATCCGGCTACCATCAGATTGCCATTAGACCAGAGGACCAACTCAAAACCGCATTTCAGACCAGGTACGGTTTGTACGAGTTTGTGGTGATGCCCTTTGGCCTTTGCAATGCGCCGGGTACATTCCAGCACGCCATGAATAGGATCTTCCATGACTACTTGGACAAGTTTGTTGTCGTGTACCTCGACGACATACTTCTCTTCAGTAGATCTGTCGAGGAGCATGCTCAGCATGTAGACAAGGTGCTTACACTCCTTCGACAACAGAAGTATAAGATAAACACAGAGAAATGCGAGTTTGGTCGCACTCGAATCTTGTACTTGGGTCATGACGTATCTGCGGATGGGATTAGGCCCGAAGATGCTAAGGTGGCTAGCATACGTGACTGGCCATGACCCAAGTCAGTGACTGAGGTCAGATCATTCTTGGGAATGTGTGGTTATTACCGCAATTTCGTAAAGAAATATAGCACGATCACATCTCCCTTGACTGATCTAACTCGACTCGACACACCATGGGACTGGACCGACGAGTGTGAGGCAGCTTTCAAGCGTTTGAAGCATGCTCTCACGCATCATGAGGTTTTCATGGTACCCGACCCACAAAGGCCATTCGTGGTAACCACTGATGCAAGTCCATATGGGATTGGCGCAGTGTTGGCTCAGCAGGAAAGGAAGAAGTTGAGACCGATCGAGTACATGAGCAAAAAGATGCCTTCAAAGAAGTTGGCAAAGTCCACCTACGAGAGGGAACTCTACGCTCTTTACAAGGCACTTGTCCACTGGATGCACTACCTGTTAGGAAGGTTCTTCTACTTCAGAACTGACCATCACACACTCAAGTGGATTAAGACTCGACCAGTTCTCTCCGATGCACTCAATCGCTGGATTGAAGTCATAGATCAATATGATTTCAAACTAGACTATTTGAAGGGAGAGTACAACAAGGTTGCAAACGGGTTGTCTAGGAGGGCAAATTACCTAGGTGCGCTGATTTATGAGTTTGGTCTATCTGAAGATGTAACTCGATCTTTGGAGGAAGCCTACAAGGAAGATTCCATCATGATGGACATCATCAACAAACTTCAGGCTAAAGATAAGGCCACTACTGATAAGTTTGTGATGGTGGATGGGTTGCTCTTTCTTGAGAAGGCAGGATTTAAGAGATTAGTTGTTCCATCTAGGGAAGATTTGCGTAGTTTGTTTTCAGGTGAGTGCCACGACACAACACGACATTTCGGTTATAAGAAGACTAGTGCTAATCTAGTACAACGATTCTGCTGGCCTAACACGCTTGACGATGTGAAGAAGTACGTGGAGACCTGTCAGGTCTGTCAGCGGGACAAGCTGCGAACTCAAGCTCCGCTTGGGTTACTCGAGCCTTTACCCATTCCTGCTGGCCCAGGTCAGAGTATCTCCATGGACTTCATGGATACTCTACTGACCAGCAAGAATGGCAAGAGGCACATTTTCGTCATAGTGGACAGGTTTACCAAGTATGCTAGACTAATTGCCATGCCAGAGACTGCCAGGACTGAAAAAGACAATCGTTAGTGACAGAGATGTGAGATTCACAAGCGAGATGTGGAAGAAGGCCGCCGAACAGATGCGCAGCCAGCTTCAAATGACTTCTTGGAATCATCCCGAAGCAAATGGGCAGGCTGAATAGATGAACCGAGTGGTGCAGCATCTGCTGAGGCATTACATCAAGCCCAGCCAGGATGACTGGGATGAGAAATTACCTCTCATCGCCAGCCTATACAACAATGCTGTACACAACACCACCGGCGTCAGTCCTAATCGACTGCATCTTGGGTGGAGCCCTAGATCTGCTCTAGACTTCCTCCTGCCTGAAAACCGAACTGCTGCAACTCCTGGAACCATTGAATTTGGTGTCCAGTATGAGAAACTGTTGCAGCAGACTTTCGAACATGTCAAGAAATCTCAAGAAGCCATGATTGCTTCTGAGAACAAGCATCGCCGACAGTCCACATTTGAGGTAGGGGAATGTGGTTGGGTCAAGGCTAGTGAACTGGGACAGGAGTTTGGCATCTCTAGAAAACTAATGCCTCAGTATTTCGGTCCCTGGGAAGTCTTGGACATTGTGGGGAATGATTTGGATGGTCCCTTGTACGTCATTCGTATCCTTGGTCACTTGCGCACTTACCCTGTTTTTCATGCCTCCAAGCTTGCACCTTTCGCTGAGACAGCACAGTTCACATCACGGAGATCTATGCTGCCCCCAACCATGGACGGCCACGTGGACGTCGACGACATTTTGGATCACAGAGATACGCCTGTTCCTAAGCCACATGGCAGGGGAAGACCTCCCAAACCTGCGAGGGAATACAGAGTACATTTCAGGCATCATATAGATCCGAAGGAAGATCCCAAGACAGCTCATCGATGGATCCCAAGGGAGGAACTTGTCAAGACAGCTCATCAGATCATGGCAGATTATGAGAAGAGGTTAAAAGGGAAGGCACCAGCATGAAGCATCTCAGCGGACTTTCGAAACTAAGGGGGATGGAATGTGAGGAACCAGCCGTCAAGTGGCCCTATCAGACATCACATTGTTCTGGGCTAAGGCCCCAGCAAGCCAAGTGTCCGCCCTAAGTGAAGGCGGGCCTGAATATTCGTCAAAGGCAGAATTCGACATTTCCATATGGGGTATTCAGGCTCTCGTAGCACGCCAGTTGGTTGGGAAGACGCGTGAGCCTCACAATGCTGCGACATACAGTTGGCCCAGGCMTTGACAGTTGCRCCTGGGCACACKWACACAAAGCAGGGCCGATACATTGGGAAGCAGGCCTTCGGCCTTTGCAAAAGCAGTAGTGCGAATGCACCTGCCCGGGGACCCTGCACAGATGCCGCAAACAGCCCAAGTGTGGAAGACTCAGGTCGTGCCCAACTGAAAAGGGCCCAGGCCCTCAACTGTAAGTCTCGGGCCTGGGCACAGGGTCTGAGGCCCAACCGGAAGCTACTGGAAACTTCCAGCCAAGCCACACGCAGCTTCAAGCAGGATGACACTTCCACAAAGGAAGTGAGGCAGCAGAGGCTAGGGAGGCTGGCCAGCGCTGGCAATGCGGAAGTGCTGCTGCGCTTCTGCTTGATGCTGCGCTAATGCTAGGGGCGCTGACGGAGCGCTAGGTGGTGAGTGGGGCGCTGCAGGGCAGCGGGGCGCAGGCAGCCATAGCCGGGCTGCTAGGCGCCAGGGGGTACAGCGGATGATCGGGTGGTCTTCAGGGAGTGAGGCGCCGTGTGGGATAATCAAGGTCCGATTCAGGGTGACGAGTTACGTACCTGGTGCATGAAGAGAGGTCGCCGATGGTGTTGACAGTCATGTACATTGGTCTTCGTGAGCCGAAGTGATTCTGTTGTGTGAACCAGCTGTAGAGTTGGATAGTGTGGTAGAGTAGGCTGGGCGCTGTGCGCCAGACACAGAGAGCGACTCTGGATACTGTGTTGGTGTCGCCTACAGGCTTGGACATTGGCTCAATACTCAATTGTATTGCTCTTTATGGATGGTTTTCTCGGTGCATTTGTACTCTCTCCTTGGGATGCTACTACTTGCACAGCTGTGTGATTTCACAACTTGGTTTTATGTATATCGCTCACACTCATATTCCTTGCACATTTCAATTGAGTAGTTTAATTGTATATTCATTATAAGAATACGATAAAATATTGTATTCTTATAAGGAATATAATAAAATGATCAAATAAATATCATACAATCAGATATAAATAAATAAAAATCAAACTTAGATAATATAATATAAACTTAGAGAATCTAGATAGATGAATCTATTTCACAACGTCTCGTGGAGTAATGGAAGTATCCAAAGTTGATTTGCGTTTAAGTAATTTGAGCTTATTTGTCCTTATGAAACCTATGTGAGGATTGAGCCCTCAAGAAGGGGCCTTGCCATGATGTACATGTTCTGGGCTAAGGCCCCAGCAAGCCTCGTGCCCGCCCTAAGTGAAGGC